ATTTAACCAAAATTTGGTTTTTGCATGTTTACCCAAAATTAGCTTCTCGTACGGAACTTCGAGGTTGAGTCAAAAGAACTCTAATTTGTTTATTTTTTTTTTATTTCTGTGTAGAGTGACCACCTCTTGTTTTTTTTTACAAATTTAAGTTTTTTTTATTATTAACATTATTTCAAAGGTAGTTTTTTTGAAAAATGCTACTTCCACAACTTTTTTATTTATGTATTGTCTTACCAAACCACATTTTTAGTAGGTCAAACGTTATCTATACTATACAAAAAAATAAAAAATAAAATATAATTTTAATTAATTAAATTTTTATAGATGATTCTTAATTTTTTTTCTCTATTAAACAAAATATTTTTTTCAGTGCATAGTTTTTATTGAAAGGCACAATAATTATCCACAACTTCACGTAAGACATCAACATGGTGATCAAATAAACCATTCCCGAGGTATGTATTTTTGAATTGATGCGTATCATTTTTACATAAGCCTTTTTCAGAAGTTAGTCGCGTACTAAACTAATAGACTTCTCAGACGTTTGTGAAATTCATTTTGACTAAAAAAATGTTTTAGGAAATTATGGAATAATAAGATATTATGATGGTATTTTGTATGTGTAAGTAACAAGAAAAGATTTATAAGCTTGTGTTTGACACATAAAACCTGCAAATTTAGCTTTGACAGAGCCACAATGAGCGATTTTTTGATCGCCTCTTCGCGAAGAGTGAAGAGCGAAGAGTGGGTAAGATAAATGACAAAATTGCTTATTGTGACTCTCATGCAGCAACATTGGCTGATATTATGTGTCAAACATAAACTCCACAATCTTTTCTTGTTGCTTACACAAACAAAATATTATTATAATATCTTATTATTCCATAATTTCATAAAACATTTTTTTAGCCAAAATGAATGGAAGGCACCCTGGTGAAATGCACAAGTATTAGTGCAGAACTCGGGATAAATTATAAGTATTAGTGCAAGAAAACCTTTGAATTTTCCCAAAGTTCTGCACTAATACTTGTGCAATTCACAAACGTCAGATAAGTCTATGAATCAAATGCGTAAAAAAGCATTTGGGCAATAAAAAACAACTATGCAAAGTTTCGACTTGATCGTTAAAGGTTGATAAAAAAAATTAAAAAAAAAATCCTCATTTGAAATGGCACCGCTCTTCTACCACTTCACTAACACCAGAATAAATTGAAAAAGAAAAATTATCCCCAATTGAAGCAAATTATATTCTCTGCCTTTTGAGACACATTCAAAAAACATTCATCCAATATTTTTTTCATCGATATCTGTCATATAAAGGATTGAGCGAAAAGTAGTCCTTAGTAAACATCGCACTAAAGGCTGACTAAAAGTAAATTTGTACGCCCCTCGCGCGCCGTTAGCACGCCTCTAGTGTTGGGAATCGAAAATATTTGACAGTGGTTTGTTTACACTTCTATAGAGAACAACTGGTGCAAGTTTGATCAAAGTAGTCGATCGCGTTCAGCAATAACGTCAAATGGAACTCGAAAGAAGAAAAAATATTGTGTACAAACACCTGTAAAATTCGGAGTGATCCAGTTCACAGTTGGCTAAAGTGCTGAAAATGCCGAAAACAACAGTTTGTCGAGTGCTCAAAACCTACAAGGAAACCCTGAGTGTGGAAAGGAATCAGTGGACCTACGAAAAAACTGGAACCAGGGATCGTCAGCTGCGCAGCAAGGTGTTGAGGTGCGTTAAAACCAACCCCTGTCTATCGATCCGAGATGTGGCCAGATGGTACAACGCCAACTTTCAAACGGTGCGGAACATCCTTGCCAGGGAAGGATACAAGTCGTACAAAGCTAGTAAACATCCGAACCGGCACAAGAAGCAGAATTCCGTGGCCAAAAAGCGTGCAAGGTTCTTGTACGACCGTGTTTTGACGAAACACAAGGGCTGCGCTGTGATCGATGACGAAACATACGTCAAACTCGATTTTAAGCCGCTTCCCGGTCAAAAGTTTTACATCGCGACTGGACGTGGGGATGTGCCAGGAAGATTCAAGTTCGTGTTTGCCGACAAGTTCGCGAAGAAAGCCATGATTTGGCAAGCGATTTGCAGTTGTGGCCTGAAAACGTCACATTCTCTGCGATGACATCCCAAGTTTACATCGAAGAATGCCTGAAAAAGCCGTTCATCCGCAAGCATAGGCCAACTATCACTACTCCAAGGTGGTTCTGGAGTTGTTTGCTGCCAACACGATCGATTTTGTCCCCAAGCTAATGAATCCTCCAAATTGCCCGGAATTTCGACCAATCAAAAAATACTGGGCAATTTCAAAGCAGCAACTTTGACGAAGCGGCGGGGCAGTCAAGGACATCCAGTAAATGCGGCAAAATGGAAGAAATGCGCAAATTCCGGGTCCGTTTCCACTGTGCGGGTGCTGATGGGCTCCATCAGGAGGAAGGTTCAAGATTTCGTTCGAACTGGAGAAATGTAGCCATCTAATGCTGTAACTATGAAGTTTTAATAGAAGTAATGCAAAGCAACCATTAATGGACTTTTCAATCTTATTGAATCACGAACTACAGGTCTTTTTGTGCGTACCAATTTACTTTTAGCGAAGACAACAAATCAAGACCTTCACTCAAGCGTAGCGCCATTGTATCTGTCGCTTGGATTCTGGCAAAGTTGCCAGATTTGATGTCTTTGCTTTTAGTCAGCCTTTGAAAAAGTGTAGAAATCGACAAGAATATTCTATAAAAAAAAAACAATTTTATATTTGCCCAAGGCTTAATTTTGCCCGAGGATTTAAACCCTAACGCCCCTCCCCCCTCGCTGTGCCATTGGTTTCAAGTTTTCAAAGTATTTTTCTAACCGAAAGCATGATTTGTTACTTGCATAAACTAGTATTCGAAATTGACCAATTTTTAGCTATCAATTCTAAAATAGACCGACAAGGTACCACCAACAATCAATACGAAACTATCGATTTTAAATGGATCATTTTAGATGGCTGAGTTTTGAACCCACCACAGCTTTCATTTGGCGCTACTGTATACGGACGAACCAATGTAAAATACTGTGGTAGCCACAGTACGGTGCTGTCAAAACCTCAGCATCTTCAATGATCCATTGGCTCACTACTTGACTAGCCTATTGGTCCCAAGCAAATCGATTAACGAACCCCATTCTAATCAAAATTCTAATACTACACAATGTTTGTTTTGATTCGCTATGAAAGTTTGACAGATAGCATGAGGGGTTAGTGAATTTTCCTATGTTTCGAGGGGTGAATCGATTAGCTTGGGACCGAAGATAGTACCAGAGCTGAGCCAAAAAGTTGAGCACGTTTCTTCGGGACCGTCTGGTCTTAGAGTTACCTCTATGGTACAACATCGTAAATCGTCTCAACTGACGAAGTGGTTCAAACCACATTAATATCCCAATAGTGTGCACCTATATACTAGAGTCGGTGTATAATGAGTCACGCCAAGAGAAAAACAGTTGAACTCGCATCACGGTTTTCGGAAGATTCCCATTCTTTTCACTTGGCAACAGAGGACTTCTACAACAACTTCAAATGACTTCTAGGGAGAGAAAAAATATTGCGACTGTAGTAAATCATTATATCAGTGATTTTGTCAAATTATCTTAACAAAAAATAGTAGAAATTCTCATTACTAATCATTACCGAGCGTATCCCATGACAATTTAACGCTCACTGCGTGTTTATGCTCATTTCTTCGATTATATTTTATATTTTATTGCAATACCTTTCGTGGACCTTTTATAGCATCGTAAGGCCGTTCGCAATGCTGAGTTTCAAAATTGTTTCAAACTACTCGTCAATTCTATAATTTGAAACTGTCAAAAATAAAACTGCAACACGATCAGCGCAACGCACAGTTCTAAAACATGTTTGTAATCATCAAATTCAATAAACTTTACTGTTCTCTATGAAGTTCTCCGTTTTTTTTTGTGGAGCTCTTCGAAACATCTTCAACACATCCAAAGAAATTTGAAACAGAGTTCCATTCGTGTTTCAAACTCGCTCAGAAATAAAACAGAATAGTCGAGCAGTTGCAAATCTGGTGCAAAATAGTGCTCGAATAATGAAACTGCAATTCAGCATTGCGAGAGGTGCGTTTCTGTTCTAGTTTCAAATTGAAACAGTCCTTATAAAATACAACAGCATTGCGAACGGCCTAATGTTTATTTACTTTGCACGATAGGTAGCCGGTTTGACAGTTCAATAGGTAGACTTGGCTTCACTCTTGGCGTGACTCATTATACACCGACTCTACTATATACTAGCATCTGATTTATTACACACATACTGTATTCGTAGCTAAACTATTTAACCATTCGAGACTATTATTTATTGCGTATCTAATGAACAATAAAGGTCGTTGTAAAACCAGAATGAATTAGGCGTCATAAATTAACCTTTGAATAATATAGTTTTGAAGTTTTTGATTTTCACACGACCATTGTTAATTATATACTTTGAGGTTGAAGATTTACGATTTGCTCTGTTTAAGCTAAACATATCAAAACCAACAATAATGGTGTGCTAAACTCTATTCTAATTTTAATGGTGCCCAGTTCGGTTTGGCAGCATGCCGACCATATGTATTTCACAACACCTCTCATGAGCTTCACCCCCTGTATGTCCCTCTCTCTCTCTCTCTCTCTCCAACCTTTGTAAAAGCTAATCCCCAAACCCCCTACATTCCGTTAAAGCTTCCCTGGAATTCTGGTAGAAGTGTCACATACAGTAGGACATCGTACGAGTGAGAGGAACAGTGAGAGCAGTCTCGTTGTTGGTCGGTTTCAAATTGCAAATGACACTTGTGTGATAATGTGGAGCGAACCTAGCGAGGGTGGTGGAATTGATGATTTGTTTTTATGAAAGTTGATATTAATAGCATTGTCGGTAGTTAACGCGAGCGAGGATGAGTGGATGAGGATGAGTAAATAGATTATTAAATATATAGATATTCTTGTAAACATACCACGCAACAACAACATAATACAATTAAAAACCCAAATATTGCTCCGGCCGTACCGACTACCCATGTTAAACGGATGAATAAAATTACACCGAAAATGTTCTGTATACACGGCAGAAAGACACCGATAAGTGTGCCTGCGGTTGTCAGTCAGCCAGGATTGTTTGAGAGTGGCAGAGATCGAGTTGATTTATTTTTTGGCCGGTTCAGTAGATCATATTAACGCCCCATGATGTGTCCGTTTCCCGTCATGCCAGAAACCATTCACCGAGGGAAAAAAGTGATGCAGTATCAGTTTGCGAGTGCAGTTGAAGGGAGAAAAAAGAAAAGAGATAGAAAAACCCGTATAAGTGTTATTCCATTAAAATATTTATGTTTAATTTGTTATTTTCATTTCTGAGAGCTTCCGGACGGGAGGAATCTGTATTTTGGAAAACAACCAGCCAGGGTGCGCCAATGAAAGCGCAACAATTAATATTTCAATTTTTGGCTTTCATTTGATGTTATTTTTAGATTTTTTGGATGCGCGCATCTGTCACCAGAGATTTATATTAAAATTTCCGAAGGAACGAGCTACACCGCATGCATCCTGCTGGGAGTGGACGGGGAAGGGAACCAATTTACTTACCCATTCGGGCCGATTCTTGGGCCGGTTTCGCATCTGGATCCGTCGCAGCGGGAATCGTATTCGAGTAATTCGCCAGGGACGAAATGAGCGTGGTGATTTGAGGACGTTCTTGGATTTCCTCCTGAAAATGGGGATAAAGGTTTGGTTTTATTAGCACAGTAGAACATGAATTAAAATTAAGCAATTATCTTAATTCTATCGTATCATATGATACGGTATCGATGAGCTTTCCGAATGTAATTATATAGCAGTGATTTTCTCCAAATTATAGCAATTCCACATAACAATGTACTGGAAAATATAAATTTACAGAAGAGGATCCTACGTGCGCGTATGGTATAATTGGCTTTCAGTTCGCATTTCCGGTGTGGCATGACCTAGCCATTACTAATTTCCATCCGCTTGGCTGCCCCAATCTACGCCGTATTATTAATGTTAATAATAATAATAATAACAGCCACCATATTTGCGGCGGTAAAAGGAAATGCTTAAAAGGGAACCCCATCCAGCAGCTATTTCCGGTATCAGTAGTAGCTGGGTACGGGACGGAAACGATGAAAATGAGATCATTTCAGTTCAGCAAAGGACACGATTACCGTGAAGCGCCATCATTTCACATGGCACCTTACTCTGCTCACACAAGTAATTCTACGTATTTTTCCTAGCATTAGCATTAGGTGAAAAACTTTCAAATCATCAATCACGTGTTTATTTATTCACCTTTCCCTATTTTTTTTTTTATAATTTGTGCAAGATATTCGGATTGAACACTGAAAAGACATGGGTCGACAGCCTTCAATCGAAGACATCATATCAAGAAGACTGTCTCTTCGGTTTGCCTTGAAGTTAATTGGAATCTATAATTTTAGAAAATGTGTCGATTTTTATACATCATCTGAAAGGATTGTTTTTTTCGAAACCGTAGACTTTCATCTCGATTTTAAATCAAAGTTTAGAGCAAAATATTATCTTCACTATTTGGCACTAAACTAACAAATTGACAGCTCGCTCCCATACAAAGTCCCACTCAGGGGCGCTAAGATGGTGATATTGGCTACTGTAATCGCACTTACAGTAAAATAGTTCCAGTGTTCCAATTTTGATCAAATTTCGGATTTCGGTTCCATTTTTAATGTAGATTACGAATATGCCTTTACCTCAATACCCTTAAAGAACACAATTAAATGTTTTTATGTTGTATTTTTTTTATTTAAACCGTTTTTATAAATCTCATCGTTTATTTTCCGTGGATGTACTGTGTATTGTTTATGTTTTAACACTGAAGTTCTGTGTCAAAGTGAGCTGCAAATATCAAAACGAACATAAGTGAAAGTGATCTGTTCTGTTTATTTGTTATTGTTCAACCACGTCATTCAATCCACAACACTGCTTCTATGCCGGTACCTATTGTGCAGTGTAGCCGAGCAAAGTTTGAGATCAAATTAAAATCTAAATTTGATGTTGTGATTTTGCTGATAATGATTACACAGGTTGCTGTCGTTTTGGTCGTTAACGGTTATAATATCGAAATTGAGTGCAAAAAATCTTCCTGTTACATCACATTGAAAACTATTTCTGCTGTCAGCGAGAGCAAACTGAAAATTCAATTTGGTATCAATTTTTCCTGTTGATAACCAAACAAGTATTCAATTTGATGTTATGCTAGGGCAATGAAAGCAAACCCGCAACAACGTATTTTTGAAGAGCAAATGTACAGCAAAATGAAAACAAAATTTGGTATCAAATTTGTCAATTGCGTAAACTGAAATCAAATTATGATTTCAGTTTGATGTTGATATAAAAACTTGATTTCAATTTGCTGTCATTTTGATGCTGGACTTTGCTCGGGTACTCACCAGTAGCTGAAGCAAAGCATTTCAAGCTGAACATTGCATTAGGTCCTAAGTAACATTGATCGATTCTCTTCGTCGACTTTCTCATTCGTTAATAACTTGAGCATAGAACCGTTTTTGACGTAAGACTACGTCTGTGATTTCTATATGGGGGTACACTTTGTGAAAACCGAAAATGGAACATGTAACAAAATTATGAAAGATTTTGAACGTTAATAACTCAGCTGCCCCTGGACCAATTTCAATAATTTTATTTCCAATCGATCAGAAATGACACATTTTTCAAAATGTCACTATCGAAAATTGCGCAAATGAAAATTATCACCGATTGCCGGCGAAAAGCGATTTCCCTAACACAAATTTCAAAGTTGAATTCCATCCGGTCTCACCAAATGGTGTTTATTCAATAACTCCGTAGTGAGTGGTGGCGTTCTCCAGTACACAACGAAAGGCTGCTTGCAAGCAGCGAGCTGCAGCCGACATGAGCATCCATAGAAGGAGGAATAAGCCGTACCGCTATTGATCGGAATCAGTAGCTCTTCGTGAGTCGCTGTTGGCCATCTATGTCAAGCGTGTCATACTAAAGAGTATAAACAAAGAGAACCCCGCTCAAATTCCAATTCCTACACAAAACACAAGCTCCTGCTGCAGTTAACAAATAAGCTTTATTATATAAGTCCATGTAGTCCTACGTCACCATTGCGGCTGTCCCTTGTAGTTTTTGATGTGCTAGATAAAAGCTTTTTTTATCGATCTGTGTGCTGAAAATACCTGATAATGTCTTTACATGGGCGTGGGGATTCAAAGAGAAAGTCAACGAAGATAATCTGTCAATGTTACTTAGAACCTAGTGCAATGTTCAGCTTGATTTGTGGATTTTATTTCACCTGCGCATATCGTATCTACATTTTGGCGTTAATCTGAAATCTAGTCATGGCTTGCCCGCGTTTCCAAAAAGTCTTTTTGCCTCTGACCGCATCATCTGTCGTGGGTACTGTGGTGAATCTATTCACACCTTCCGTGCAAATGTGAACATTCCGGAGCTAGACGTTCTGGGACTGCATAAGAGGAATATTTTCTGGATGTGCGACGGCTGTGCGGATTTATTCTCCAATGAACATTTCCGTAGCATGACCGCTCGCTGCAATGCTAGTCCCACGAGTCCAGCCGATTCAGAAATGATCAACTCGCTAAAGGACGACATCTCCAAACTAAGTGATGCTGACGCTACGCTCTCAGCCAAAGTTGAATCTCACCTTATTGCACCGGGTGGATTTTGTTTTAACGATTTGTCGATCAAACCCAGCAAACCAAAACGTAGGCGTACTTCTAATGGAACTACTTCTCACAGTGTTCCTAAGCTGGCTAAAAATCGTGGTACTAACAAGGTGAAGCCATAAAAAACCGTCCTACTGAATGACGAGTTGTTGTGGATTTATCTCTCGGCGTTTGATCCGATAACTACCGAGCAGGAAATTATGGACTTTGCTCGAAAATGCTTGAACCTGAACGGTGACCAGCCGAAGCCGAAGGTGGTGAAGCTAGTTCCCAAAGGCAAGGATATTTCAACAATGAAATATGTGTTTTTCAAAGTCGGTGTTGGTAAGGTGATGAAAGGTATTGCGCTCTGTGCCGATTCCTGGCCAGAAGATATCTACTTCCGAGAATTTGTACAAAGTACACCCTCAAATTCATTTGACACCACCAGGACCGCACTGTATACAGCATTTTGGAAGCCCCTGAGCCACTCGACCCAGTCGTGTTTGATGCTGTTTCCAGCCCTCGGAACCGTCCTGGTCATGCGGTTGCGATCGGTGAAGGGCTCTTCCAGCCTGTGTTGCCAGGAAAGTATATATGGCTTATACGGGATCAGATTATTCGGATTGAAACAGCGCGTTCAAATTCTGGTATAACACTAAACTGTATTTTCATTTTGCCATATGGCTTATATAAGGAGTCAAACAATAAACCAATTCATTTCTATAGTCCTGATCATCAAAAGGGTTAAAGTACGGAGTAACAATTGTGTATTCAATTTGTTCAAAAATGTTTTGAAAACGCAGGCAATTTGAGGCACTTGCGCATGCGACAAAAAATGTTGCAACGATGATGTCGCACGGAAGCTGCAACGATGATCGAATAGATGACGCTACAGTATCCCCCTCCAAGAGCAGACGGCGATCAGCTGTAGCGTAGTGGAATCCTTACGTGTCGTCCAGAACGGGTGATCGTCGTCGGCTGCTCTGTTGATGTAGTTGTAGCCGATAAACCAGAGGTAGGTTGGAATGGCTGTTGGTCCTCTATGGTGTATGCAGGTTTCAATCTGTCGATAGAAATGTTAGTCGTTCGGCCATTTACGCAGAGCTTGTAGTATTTGTCGGTTCGCTTTAAGACTGGATGTGGTCCGGTGTAAGGTGGTGAAAGTGAAGGTCTTATTGAATCGTTGCGAATGAACACGTTCTTACATGTGTTGAGATCGGGATGAACGAACACGTTACCTTTTCCGTGCCAGGCTGTATCGGGTGGACGAAGTTTCCGCATTGTTTCTCGAAGGTTGCTTGCAAAATCTGTGGTAGTACTGTTTTGACCATTTTCGCCGAAAAACTCGGAAGGAATCCTAAGTGTCGTCCCATAAACCATTTCTGCAGGCGATGCTCTGATATCGTCCTTATAGATGGTTCGCAGGCCAAGAAGAATCATCGGGAGATGCTCGGTCCAGCGATCGGGGTTATGGCAGAGAATGGCGGATTTCAATGTTCTGTGCCACCTCTCGATGATGCCATTGGACTGAGGATGATATGGTGTGGTTCTCAAGTGACTTATCCCGAAGGTGTGAATCAATTCTGCAAAAAGTGTTGACTGGAATTGTCGTCCTTGATCGGAGGTGATGTGTGTAGGCACACCAAAACGAGAAATCCACCCAGAAACTAACGCCTGAGCGATAGTAGGCGCTGTCATGTCCGGAACTGGTATTGCCTCTGGCCAACGAGAAAACCTGTCGATGATGGTAAGGCAGTATCGGTCCCCGTTGCTTGGTGGAAAGGGGCCGACGATGTCAATGTTGATGTGGCAAAATCTATCGTCGGGTATGGCGTATCGACCGAGAGATGATTGTGTGTGGCGTGTCACCTTCGAGCGTTGGCATTCCAGGCATCTTCTTGTGTAGTTGACGCTGTCCCTCCGTATACTTGGCCAGACGAACCGCTGAGTCATTAGCTTGGCCATCGCACGGGTGCCGGGATGTGAAAGGTTGTGTGTTGCTTGAAGA